CCAGGAAACTTCTCAGCTTTTGCTTTGGTCCAGTTGTGCTGAATTCTCCTGTATTGTGGGTTGTCCTACCCTTCACCAAAGTTGATCCTTGTCTACTATCTAATTTGTGATTTTCCCTCCCTCTCCCTCCCCACCCTCGTAACCATCAAAGAATGCTTTTTTCTGTGTTTAAATCTTTTCCTGAGTTCTTGTAATAGTGGTCTCGTACAATATTTGTCCTTTTGTGACTGACTTACTTCACTCAGCATCATACCCTCCAGATTTATCCATGTTGTGAGATGTTTCGCGGATTCATCATTGTTCTTTACCTTTGCATAGTATTCCACTGTGTGGACATACCAAAATTTGTTTATCCATTCATCTGTTGATGGGCATTTAGGTTGTTTCCATCTTTTTGCTATTGTGAATACTGCTGCAATGAACATGGGTGTGCAAATGTCTATTCATGTGACGGCTCTTATTTCTCTCGAGTATATTTCTAGGAGTGGGATGGCTGGATTGTGTGGTATTTCTATTTCTAGCTTTTTAAGGAAGTGCCTAATTGTTTTCCAAAGCGGTGGTACCATTTCACATTCCCACCAGCAGTGCATAAGTGTTCTAATCTCTCCACAACCTCTCCAACATTTGTTATTTTGTGTTTTTTGGGTTAGTGCCAGCCTTGTTGGGGTGAGATGGTATCTCACTGTCGTTTTGATTTGCATTTCTCCAATGGCTAATGATTATGAGCATTTCCTCATGTGTCTGTTAGCTACCTGAATGTCTTCTTTGGTGAAGTGTCTGTACATATCCTGTGGCCATTTTTAAATTGGATTGTCTTTTTGTTGTTGAGGTGTTACAGTATCTTGTATATTTTAGAGATTAGATCCTTATCGGATATGTAGTAGCCACAATTTTTTTCCCAATCTGTAAGTTCTCTTTTTACTCTTGGTGAAGTCTTTCGATGCGCATAAGTGTTTGATTTTTAGGAGCTCCCAGTTATCTAGTTTCTCTTCTGGTATTTGTGTATAGTTAGTTATGGTTTGTATACTATTTATGCCATGTATTAGGGCCCCTAGTGTAAAAGTAAGATTTAAATTGAACCTTGAGAGATGAGTAAGAAGAAGGGGGAAAGGGAAATCTTCCAGAACTACAAGATGACTAACCTAAGCTAAGCCAAGGAAACAGGAGTGTGCTGAGAAGATAGATGAGGTTGTGGGTGGGGCATATAGAAGCAAAATGGGGAAAAAGGCTGGATACAAAGGATGGGACACTATTATGAAGGTCTTAAGAGTACACAAAGGAATTTAAACAATGCTAAAGGAGATAAGAGAGACATAAAGGGATTGAGCAGGAAAGAAATGTGATAAACGTGAAGTTTAAAAGATATTATCAGATGAGATGAAAGAGCCTGGAAGTCAGAGAACTAGACTGGAGGTGAATAGGGTGAACTAAGCAAAAAAGATGATAGTCTGGAACACGCTGGCATTGTGGGTGGGGTGGGAGCTGGAAGAGACATTTGATGGATTCCTGGCTGAATACAGACTCTCATAGACAAGGATGAGTCAAAGAGTACTCTGAGGTCTTAAACCAGGAGAGAGGAAAAAAAAAAAGAAATCCAGTAGTAGCTGTGATTTCTCATACTGACAGTCCAGTTTTCCAATAAAATGGAGCTTTAAGGGTTCTAATGATTTGGTATTCTCCTCGAGCAACTGTGCCATAAATGGGCTCATAGGTGCGTATAGTTTAGAGTTGGCAGAGACCTTTGTTTTCCAGATGAGGAGAGGGCCAGAGAGGTGGGTTAATTGCTCAAAGTTAACCAATTAACTGGTGAAAGTATGGGCTAGAATCAGGCTTCTTAACTCCCAGCCTAATCATCCTTTCTAAACCATGTTGGACATGAGGGGTTTGAAAATCAAGACAATTCAGATTTGCATTTCTTGGGCTTGCCTGATCATGACTGATCAACTTTAAGGAAAGAGGATTTATCCTATCCATAGTCAACCCCTGCTAGGTCAGTTTCATTCCACATGCATATGAGCTGTTTAGCTGGTTGGGCTTCTAAACAAAAAGTCCTTAAGTTTGTTTTACTAATTCTCATCTCCACATGACTAAACAAAGTGAGGACTGTCACTGACTGCCAGCCTCATCAGGCAATATTTTCATACTCCTTTATGAATAACAAAGTAAAAGAAATGACTTATTGACAGTATAGAATTTAAAAGGTCTTAACCTTCCACCCAAACCGAAACTCCCTAGACTATCTCTGAAAGATAGTCATCCTGCCTCTAAATGTTTTCAGGAATGGGGCAGTCCATTCCTTTGTCATGCCAGCTCTAATTACTAGAAAAAAGTTATTACTGTAAATTAGCGATAATAATACCTATTTTTCAGAGTTACTATGAATACTAAAAAAAAACAACAACAAAACAAACCCGTTGCCAGCAAGTCGATTCCGTCTCATAGCGACTCTGTAAGACAGAGTAGAACTGCCCCACAGGGTTTCCAAGGAGCGCCTGGTAGATTTGAACTGCCAGCCTTTTTGGTTAGCAGCTGAATTCTTAACCAGTACACCACCAGGGTTTCTACTATGAATGTTAGGGATTACAAATGTAAAATGCCCAGGATAGTGCCTGGCACAAAGAGGTAATAAAGAGATAGCTGTTCTTGTTATTATTATCTCACCCACTGATTCTAGTTTGCTCCATGGAGCTACATACATATACTTTAAAACAGTCTTTCAAATACTTGAAGTTAATTGTCATATTATTCCTATGTGTTCTTTTTTTAGACTAAATATATCCATCAGTATTTTCTTTCTTGGACTTCCCTCCTTTTGGCTATGCTCCTGCATGTGATATTTGTACAATGTGGTGCTCATAACTGAACAAGGAACTCTAAATGTAGTCTGGATGCTTCAAAACAGAGTAAGACCATAAGCCTTTTTGGCCTAGATACTACTTCTCCTCAAGCTGCCTATGGTTCCTTTAGCTTTTGTGGCAACCATGTCACATTACTGCCTTTGGCCTAGGAAAATTCCCAGGTCTTTTTTCACATGAATTTTAAGTCTCCCCCATTTTACACTTGTGTAGAACTTTTTTTCAAACATAAGTGCAAAACTTTATATTAATGGAAAGCCTATTATGTATCAGATATTGTGCTGAGTTCTGTGGACATAGGGATGAGTAGGACAAAGCATCAACACATTAAAAATGTAAGCTCCACAAGGGCAGGGGCTGGGTCTGTCATGTTCACTACTGAATCCCCATTTCTTGGCATGATGTCTGCACACAGTTATGTGCTTAATATTTGTTGAATAAATAACTGAATAAAATATTTACAATGGAGATTTTTCTTATAAGTGAAAAGGCATTTCTCTAATTCACTTATTTTTATAAATTCAGATACTTTACAAGTCTATCATAATCCCACTTTTAGCTTAAACCTAGACTTTTTCCTCCTACGGTAATCCAGTTTCCAAAATAGACTCTAATTGTTTCTTTCGAGGCCAAAGAAAATATTCACGTGCTTTATCTGCTGGGTGGCCATTATATTCCACCATTGAAGGCCTTTTGTAAGCAAGTACCTGTTTGACCCATAATGCACTGCTTATATCCCAGGGTTAGCACTGGCAAACCATGGCTTCTGAGCCCTAAATACCTGAGAATTTTCTGAGCTGAGATCTATCTGGCTCTGTTTTTCTGTGGAGGAGAATAGGTCTCTCGGGAGAAGTGTGGGGAGCTAGCTTAGGAGGGGAGCTAGCTTAGGAGGACCTTGAAATTCTGCATTGGTCTTGTGAGGTGTTGCCAGGCACGCATAGGCCCAGTGCCTCTGTGTCACAAACCCTCTGTCAGAAGTTAGATATATGGAATTTGGGGATGACTGGTTTCCTAAATTCAGAATGGATTAAACTTCAACATAAAGAAAACTAAAATCCTCACAACTGGACCAATAAGCAACATCACCATAAATGGAGAAAATATTGAAGTTGTCAGGGGTTTTACTTGGATCCACAATCAACACAGCAGTCATGAAATCAAACGATGTATTGCATTGGGCAAACCTGCTCCAAAAGCTGTCTAAACTGTTAAAAAGCAAAGACGTCATTTTGAGGACTAAGGTGTACCTGACCCAAGCCATGATCTTTTCAATTGCCTCATATGCATGCAAAAGCTGGACAATGAATAAGGAATATCAAAGAGGAATGATGACTTTGAATTATGGTGTTGGCAAAGAATATTGAGTATACCATGGACTGCCAGAAAAATAAACAAATCTGTCTTGGAAGAAGTACAGCCAGAATGCTCCTTAGAAGCGAGGATGGAGGATGGAGAGACTGTCTCCAATACTTCGGTCATGTTATCAGGAGGGACCAGTCCCTGGAGAAAGACATCATGCTTGGTAAAGTAGAGGGCCGGCGAAAAAGAAGAAGACCTTCAACGAGATGGATTGACACAGCGGTTGCAACAACGGGTTTAAGCTTAGCAACGACCGTGAGGATGGCGCAGGACCAGGCAGTGTTTCCTTCTGTCCTACAGAGTGTCGTACATACTGTTGCAACGAGTCGGAACCGATTCCACAGCATCTAACAACAAGTTCCCTAAAACCACAGTTAGGGAGGCCCTAGGACCCCTGAGTCCTCTCACAGTTTTTCCCAGTATTTGGGCTACAGGTGAAGTACTGGTCGCCATCTTGACATCGAATGTCAGGCAAGCTGCAATTGGCGTCGCACGGTAACCACGGAGACACCAGTGCGCTCCCCCTTGCCCCCCTTCCCATCCCTAGAGGCGGTAAACTACAATTCCCATCAGCCAATTAGCCCTGGTTCACCGAGAGTTGTCTAGACTTGACTTGTTTGCAACGGCGACCCTGCCGCAGTGAACCGCGGGAGTCGCAGTTCGCGGTGAGGTCTCACTTTTTTCTGCGGGAGGCTCCAGAAATACAAATCCCGTGAGCCAGCAGGCTGACGCATGCGCATGGAGTGGTCTATCCTCGCTGGCTCACTTGCCAGGGCCTGAGAGTTAAGAGGGGGCGGGGTGAAGGAAGAGGAGGCGGGATCCGGGCGCTGCGTTGGCTGCGGCCTGGCACCAAGGGGGCGGCCCCGACAGAGAGCAGACCCAGCGGCCCCCGGCGATTATGGACCCTGCTGAGGCGGTGCTGCAGGAGAAAGCGCTCAAGTTTATGGTGAGGAGAAGATGCAGGCCCGGGAGCGGTGGAGGCGGTGGCGTTGGCGGCGTCGCTGAGGCTCGGGTCTGCGCCTCCACTCTGCTGGGGGAGGGGGACAGTGGGACCCCGGGCCGAGGCCAGCGGCGGGGGCGGCTGAAGGGACAGGACCGGAGCTCCGGGGAGGCCGGAGGGAGTTGCAGAGCGAACCCGGGGGTGGGGGCAGCAGCTCCGCCATCTTGTGGATGAGAGGCCAAGTGACAGCGGGAGCTTAATCCGGGAGGGGTCTCTGGGCGGCGCGCGGGGCTGTGGAGGGAAAGGGGCGTGGGGACAGTTACTGTAGAGCGTAGGAAGCCCGGAGGATAGACGCCGAGAGGCCGCAGGCAGGGCCCTCCTGGTGTCAGGGTTACGGGTAAGGCCTGGAGAAGAGGTGCATTCAGGAGTGGGCAAGGGGAGCGCGGCATAGTGGGAGGACAGATATTGGAAATAGGAGGGAAACGGGCAGGGCTGAATGCAGATGGATCTAAGGGTGGACGAGGGAGAGCCAAGGCTGGTGGGAGACTCGTAGTTTTGTAGAATGAAGAGGGAGCTAGCCTTTGCCTTGAGGGTGGAATCCCAGCTTGGCCAAAGTAATATTGACAAACTCTGGAAAGGAAGAGGCCTTACTTTGGAAGATAAGGAACTGGGATGGGGACTTAGGGCCATGGTAATAGTCTCTGGGAAAGAAGGGTGGTGTTGACTGAGCCAGAATTACAAATGTCAGGAAAAGGGATACATGCCCTACTTTGATAGGAGAGGCTAAATATTGTAGTGAGGACGAGGTGATGAAGAGCTGGAGCCTGATTGGTCCTGGAAACTCGGGTATAGGAGATTGAGGGCAAAATTAATATCTAATAGGTTAAAACAAAACAAAATTTAGAGCTAACTTGTGGAGGTAGTGAAGTGTAGGGACGAGGTGCTGTATCACTTTCTGGGAAAGAAAGGGCCATGGAGATTAGAATTGCAAAGACCTGTAAGAAGTGATGAGATCAGAGGAGAAATTCAGGACATAAAAGGGGAAATGTGAGTAGTGGGGATTGAGAGGAAAGTCAGGATTGGTGGTTACCCATCAGTTTTAGGAGTGAGCATGGATTGGATTTCTTGGGCACGTTTAAACTCCTTGGAGCCTGTTTCTTAAACTTTGTATCATGCCTTTCTCGTGCTGTACTTATGTTTGGCACACTTGTATAGTCTGATATTCGATGCTTTTAATCTGATGCTTCTTGTATATCCTAGGTGTAAAACCTGACTTCGTGGTGACAATAAAGAATGATGGGATGCATAGACTTCTAGTTTAACAGGTGGCCTTAGGGACATTGGTATTATTTGCAGTCAAGTCTTGCTTTCTTTTTCAAAAGTAATTTTAAGCTGTCACTCCAAACCTTATCCCTTTGTTAGGTAGTTATTACTTTGTGTCTTTGTTTGAAATACTGTAACAACTTTCAAATCAGTAAACATGGATATTAACCTAATTGAGTTTAGGCTTTAAACTGCCCCACTTACAAAAATACTTTTCAAGAGGCTGGTCAAATTTATTGAAACTTTATTTTGTATTAGTGCTTTCAAAAACACCTAAGTAAAGTTTGACTGGATCAAAAACAAAATCCCATTAAGCCTGAAGAAAGTTCTTGAGTTTCTGCCTAATTTTGAAATCCTAAAATATTAAGAAGAGACTTTGAATTTTTTTGGATTTTAGAAATTAGAGGAAATTGTTTTATCTCTATAGCCAGCTTCTAGATTCAGTTTAAGTCAGAAAAGTGGCAACTGCTTATTTTCGTTTTCCTATTTAGAGGGTTGAATGTTAATCCTAGTCCTGACACTTGTGTCAGATTTATGGAATAATGTTATTTACAGATCATAAAGAGGCATTATGAGATCATCTTCTTTACTCCCCATTAGACCTTAGCCTAGGAACATTCTCAACTACTTGATCTCTGCTTTGTACCAGTAAGTTATGTTTTGATAATGGTCTCCTAATTGAGTTAAATTGGACCTGAAGATGGCCATTGTAGAAGTTTCCAGCTTTTGGGGGTCACACATTATTAAATGTTGAGTCAGTCTCCTTAGGGAGAAGCCAATTCTTTCTTTAATTTTAGTTACTTTCATTTTTGACCTTGCCTGCTATTGTGGTTGCTGTTTGAGAAAAGGCCAACTGGAAGAGGGTCACCAAGAATGACACCTTAATAACTGATGCAGAGAACAGAGAGCCAGAGACTTCGTATTCTCTTTCAGCTCAATAACAGTCTTACTATGAATCTAAGTAAGTCACAACCTCCCTTTGGTCTCATTTACCCCACTATAACATGTCTGTTAATTCAGAGTGCACTTTGGGTTAGAAAGATATTTTATTTGCTCTTGAACCAAGTAATTAGTGTACAGTACACATGGAAGGGCTATCCTTTAATCAAATTGAAATTTTTATAGTATTTGGCTGTTTTTTGCCTTACTCCTCTCAGTTGTGAATTGCTAGTGGCAACTTTTGTATAGATGCCTTGATTTCCATAGTTTAAAAAAAATGTGTAATTTGTTTAAAATGCCAACGTGAAATGAATACTCTCTTTACTGGTTTTACTCATTACCACATTGATGCAGTGATTTGATTAGGAATTTTACAGTAAAATCTTATTAATGAGACTGCTAATTCAATTGACCGCAATTCACACATGGTCTATACTTAAAGCTTACCTTTAGTTACTTGTGAAAAAGAGATTAAGCAGAACATTTCAACTTCTAAAAACAAATTATGTTAATTAAAGAAGTGGTTTACAGTGAGTAACCTCTATGCTAATGTCTCTCATTCAGCTTTAGCAGGCCCTTAGGACCTTTACTTATACTTCCTTAGTCAACAAAAATCTAACACCTTAGAAAAGATAAATGGGAACTGTAACAGGACCTGAGAAGAGAAACGAAAATGACTGAGGGGATGTAAGCATTATTTGATTTATATTTATAAGGAGGTCTGGTGGTGCGATGGTTAAGAGCTCAGCTGCTAACAAAGGTTGGTCGTTCGAACCCACCAGCAGCCCTGCTGAAGGAGAGACCTGACAATCTGCTCCCATAGAGGTGACAGCCTAGAAAACCCTATGGGACAGTTCTACCCTGTCCTGTAGGGTTGTGATGAGTTGGAATCAATTTGATAGCGTACAACAGCAACAACAGGCATTATTTTATAAGAATGGATATATATGTGTGTGTATATATATATATATATATATATACACACACACACATATATATATTTAATGGAAAGACAAGCTGAGGAACAGGATAAATATATTATTGTCCAGCCAGTCCCAGAATCTTAGAACTGGGGAAACACTTGAAACTTAGATGAAATAATTTTTTTTTTTTGTTGTTTTTTTTTTGTTTTTTTTTAATATTTTATTGTACT